CTAACACCTCCCCCCCCCTCCCAAAAGTTCGCCCAAGAGCTCCTCTCAACCTTCAGCACCGACCTGGGCGAGGTAGCCCTCATCCCGGCCACGGGGGGCATCTTCACAGTAACGATATACCATTCCTCGTCAGCGGAGACGGGGACACAGGAGACGGTCTTGTGGGATCGGAAGACGAATGGGGGGTTTCCTGGTATGTACTGGTAGTCCGTTCCATTGTTTCTGGGGTTTTTTTGCCGGGTTGGGTATTGGTTGATTGGGTTGGGTTTTGCTTGTGTGGAGGGAGGCGATGCTGATATTTCTGTAGAGGTGAAGATGCTCAAGTCGTTGGTGAGGAATGTGATTGATCCGTCCAGGGACTTGGGACATACGGATCGGGCGCTGAGGGCTGCTGGTGTGTCTGTGAAGGAGGGAGGTGAGAAGGGAGAGGGGGGCCAGGAGTGTGAGGATTGTCGGTGATGGAGTTGGGTCGGTGGGTATCGGGGGTGGTTTGTCCTGCCTGAAGGATAGATATACCTGTAATGTGTAGACATACAAAACTACTATAAGACTGTCACAAGTTGTATGTCATAGAGCACTCTGTATAACTAGGTGACAATAATACCGCTACAAGTAGAATTGTTGGAAAGATCTAGGCCATGCTCGACGACTTAGGTGGGTGAAATATATATATCACTGCATTGGCCTATGGCACAATCATGGTACTGGAAAAGAAAAGCGACAGCGAAATGCAACTATAGACCCGTGTTTTTAAACACAAATGAAATGTAAGGCACAGTCCAGCCATCTGGTGAACCTCAGAACGCCAAAACCACGCCCTGACTCTATGTCCGCCAACCCAAAGCCTATCCGGTAGAAAAGATCCAGTAGGAGAACAAGGAAATGGTCAAAGTGAATGAACGATAATAATACGGAATAAAAGGGAATATCGAGGAGGAAAAAAATGAAAAATGAAAAATGAAAAAGAAACAAGGGACAGAATGAAGGCGTCAGAAGGTTGACAAAAAAGGAGAAGAAGAATATATAAGAGAGGGTTCAAGAGTTTTAATGCGTCCCTGCAGTCAAAAACTGACCCCTGACTTCAGATATCATCTGGTCAGGATATCCGAGATCCACAAGTGGGATTGATACACCCGGAAAGCCAGTACTGCTGGTGTGCGGAGAGCATCGCCAGTGGCGCCATGATATAGTCATCGGGATGCCATCCGAAAGGACTCAAAACATGCACATGCCAGTATCGCGGGTCATTCCGCGCGTCTACCTCGGGAACCATGCTTTTTCTTTTTGGTTGCTCGGGTTCGTCTGTCAACCGAGCCGGTCGTGAACATCATGCAATTCCATCGTTAATCGAGTCATCAGCCAATGCATTACCCAATCCTCCCATTGATCCACATGAATCCCAGCCAGAAACACCTTGAAACCATGTAAAACAAACAGAACATTGATCGATGAAATCCTCTTGAAAGATAGATACCATCATGATTCACCGCTCAGCTCATGATGGTGAGAATGATGGGTTTTGCGTTTCCAGAATGCTAATCGCAGGCGACTTCGACGTTTCAACAACTTGCGCGATGACTGCTCTCCGCCGCTGGATCCATCCCATTGCTGACCATTGCCATCGTGCTTTGGGCTTCCAGGGGAGTGTGCAGGCTGTTTAGAATAGCCATTGCTGTTCCCTCTCACGGGTGCCATAGTATGATTCTTGTTCATCTCATCCGACTGAGAATGGGAAGTATGGCTAGACTGTGGTGGATGACCCTCCGATTCCCGGTCGATATTGGAAGAGCCTGGACGCACGTCGCCTCTATCACTTTCATGATCGCTCCTGCTACTGCTTTCCTGGCTAAAGCCTTTGTCCTCACCGTCATCTACAGTGAGGAAACTGGTTGCGTTCGTCGCAGGAGAAATAGGAGTCATATTATTGCTGTAGTTGCTGATGCTGTGGGTTCGGGTACAACTGTTCCGCTGCGAGTTCGATGGGCCAGATGTGCGTCCCGATGAGTTAGTGTTGGCGTGATGGTGACGATAGTTTTGCGGACCATTGCGTGAACTGCTCGGTCTTTCGCCTGTGATCTCCCCGGCACTGTTGCGGACGCCCGAAAAATCGTGTGAACCATCTTCCTTGTGCGAGTTAGAGCAAATTACGGCGGCCAGAACTGCGGAATCCCTTGAAGAGTGGCCGTCAGCGGCCCCATTCGATACTCCGGAATCCGTCCGAACCCTATTTCTCTCTGGGGACGCGCCTGCGATTGAGACCATATCAAGGTCTGGCACAGCGTTGGAGGACTTGCGCGATGGTGTTTGCGACGGCAAGGGATTTCCAGTTATGTCCATTGAAGGACCGGCTGTGTCCGGAGAGACGACAGGGCTGATAGTGTTCTCATTTAAAGTCCCGCGCGAGGTCTCAGAACCCACAGACGAGTGGGCTGCACCGAAGTAATCTGCCTCGCGCCGACCACTGATTTCATTGCTTGGCAATGCTTGCTTGGCAGAAGAATCCGGTCCGCTCGTCGTTAACGGTGCGCGGAGACCCTTGAAGCCCTTCAAACTCACAGCGGGGCTCTGAGTACAAGGAGATACCACGTCTTCAGGGCCATTTTCGTCCAGTAACGCCTGCTTTCGTTTCTCCAAATCAGCGAGGTGATGCCATCTGGATTGGTTATTTCGAATATGCTCAACGGTAAATCGCATATCGGGTAAGATATCCGCTACACCCTCGAATAGAGGAAGAGCAAATATAGACATGAAACCGATCTGACCGATAGCGAGTTTATATACGTTCCCGAGTTCTGGTGGTCCGCCGAACAAAGCAGTTTCCATGCCAACCTCCTTTTCCATTTCACCTTGATTGGCGAACTCCTCCTGCAGAATTTTGGTCCATTTTTCAGCCACATCCCATGGCCGCGCCACATTACTGATATCGGCGCATTTGATCAGCAGACCACATAGAAGGGTCTTGTACATATCAAGATCCTGGGGTTTCCATCCATCAACAGTCTGACCGTTCTCATAGAATTTCTCTTGCAAAGACCCAAGTCGCTCCATGAACTTCTGATGGACGCCCATGTCTGTTGCCAAGATCGAGCTGATCAGCAACTTGCGAATCTGCTTATCCTTGAATGCGGACGGCCAATAGCGGCGTAAGATCTGCGAAAAGGCAGCGCAGTGGAATGCCTCCAGCACCGAGTTGTCATTGTAGAGCTGTGCGAGCGGTGCGTTGAGCTTGACCAGGAAAAAGTTGTTCACTCCAGGGTGGCCCACGTCATGACCGATTGCCGAAATCAACAGCGTAAGAGTATCGAAGGGTGTGAGAAGGGATGCAATAGGAGATTTCGAATCAGTGTCTCGGGTCACTGACCCATAAGGGGGTAGAGCGCCGATGTGAAGGAGGAAATAAAATACAGATTGCAAGACGTCAATAGCATGTCGAAAGTTATGGTAGAGAACAAAGGAGTTGTAGGATGCACGACATGCGAGTAAGAATGTCCGAAGTTCACCTAATTCACGAAAACCATACCCAATCAGCCATCTCAGCAGATTTCTACAGGATTTGATGATTCACTTACCTGGTGTTAATTGCCACTGTTCCAGATTTGGCATAGTGAAGGCATGGTGCAGGATTTCAGAAGCCCCCAGCACAAGTTCATCATCAGAAAAATCATGAGCTGTAAAGTTCCAGTTCCCGATCTGCTCTTTTACGAGCGCCTCACGTTCTGGGCTCACATTTAATTCACTCCTAGAATGGTGAGTTAGACAAGTTGGTGTTATAGGCACTGCAGTACATACTGATCTTGGAATTCTTCTATCACCTCTTCGGGATTGCAGATGCCCTTCATAAGCTTCGACACCCTACACAACACAATCAGCACTGCATTCGAAGCTAATGATGGTTGGAACCATCAGAATGAACTCACATTGCTTCTCGTAAGTAGGCATATGGCTGCTCATCGTGTACACCTACCCATGAATGCTTGCGCAACTTTTTTCTGGACATGAAGCGCGACTGTTCTTTCAAAGCGGACTTGCGAGCACGGAAGGCGTGGACTACAAGGCCCTGCATCCTAGCGTTGCTCAGGGGTGACGCTAAGACGTCAACGGCGCCCGCATCTAAGCATTTCGATATCTGCTGAAATTCGGGGATCGCCCCATTGCGCTGGGGGTCCACAGACACACTACCAGGGACTTGAGCAGAAGAGCGCAAGATAGCAACCGGGACGATTAAGTTTGGGGACTCTTGGACTTGAATGTCGGCAGACAGTCCCGACAACAACTTCAGATCATGCACCCCTTCGGACTGAGACGAGAAGGTGAAGCCGCGACGCAAAGACGCCGGAGATGGAGGAGATACCTCGGGCCATGAGCCCCGGCCACTTTTCCGACGGGATAAGCCGGCGTCTTCCCCTGACAAATCGACGTCAAAGAACGCGAAAATAGGTCGGCACGTTGTGAGGGCGTCGTCACTAAGTTCGGCGAGTTTGGATGCGAGAGAAGGGCCAACATTACAAAGATAAACTATACCGGAGACTTCAGTCAGTAACAGTACCGCGAGAAGCACTGGGTGAACATAAGACATACTCCGTTTGCAGACCCCCAGTAGAACTTCCACATCTGATCTCAGAGAATCGGGTTCGTCAGGAAATGTAGAGGCACCGGAACTGGAGGTATTCGAGGAATCAGTTGGGCTTTGATACACCCACCGTTCTTGGACGACACGGCGATCAATATACACGGCCGAGCATTCGACACCATCCATGCTGTCGACTGGGTTCGGCACACCCATAGCTTAGAGCTTCTCCAGTTCAATGTGTGATGGATGGACAAGAGAAGTAATAGATTGGTCAAAGAGAAGACAATATTCTACCCAGTTCAAACTCGGTCTCATAAGGCTAACACCGAGTTGATAGTGTAGGTTGCAGCGCGAATAATTACGGGGAAACGAAGCAATGAAACACGGAAAAACGAGTGGCTGGCAGAGTAGATAGAGAAGGTGACGGTGGACGGTAGGTGAAATGAAAAAGGAGAGACTGAGAAATGGTAAGGAGCAACGGCCCTAATCTTTTTTGCGTTCTATCGGGTCAGCAACCATATGCAAAGTTTTGGTGATGTAGTGTATGTAGGCGACACGGCGAAGCCAGTATGGAGAGGATCAAAGAGGACTGCGCCCCAGAAGCAGCTGCAGGTGCGCATTCGAACAATGGATTGTTCGCTGTACTTGTCCACAGGGATTTGATCAATTGTCAACCTGCCCAGAGCGAAATACCTGCCCAGGGTCTCTGTTTCCGAGACATCCAGTTCTTTGTTCCATACACAAGCCTCCAGATGGCAGTCTACCACGATCGCCACATACACGTACACGGGATCCACTCACGTTTGGGTTCGGCAAAGTTCGGTAGGTCGAGAGAATAAAGAGACCGAGAGCGAAACACGACCTGGTGTGGGCCAATTGCTTAGTGCTG